CAGTTTGATAAACAAAAAAAGCAAACATTTGATAAAAGATGTGGTTTGATATATATTGACATTTGCCAACTTTAATGCTGCCTTCAATTATGGTAAGTACAAACTGCCAGCTTGAAAGCTGCACATGAATGCCCTCTCAAATCGTACTTTCAAGTGGGAAATTCGGAATCTTAATACCCGAGTCTGAGTTGGGATGAACTTCAACTTTTCAACATGGCGGAGAAAAAGAAGCTTTCAGCCGTGGATGGTACATAATTGTTTACCATTAGCAATACAACTATCATTGGCTGTTGCTTGTGTACATCTCTAATCAGTGTACTTGATGTAGAACAATGACATTTATCGTTCTATCTATAGCAAATGGACTAGCGAGGGTGCAAAATGATCAAAGCTCACATATGCTAAAATTTTGCATCCTCCATTTTTTCCATTTTGCCCTGACAACAAAGCGCTTGAATGACACTCATAATTCCGACTTCACAAGTGGGAAGTAGGGCCTTCCAACTAGCACATGAAGGGAGCATAAATTCTCCCTTACTGAACACCTGCAGATGTTTTCAGAAGGTAAATATAACAGTATGTGTGCCATAGAAAATTTCCATTTAGGAATGACATAAGTGACAATGGCTTATACTGCCTTATTTTAATATGCTACTACTAATTATTTTAAAAACAATTGACACTTCAATTTCCTCTCCTGCTGTGACTTAGGATGAGGTGGCTAGTATGCAGAGCACCAGAGCAGCTGTTGAGTAGAGCATGTCTGACCAGCAGGTGGTGTAATGAATGAGGATTCGAACCTTTGATGAAATGATTGCTAAGTCAAGCTCACAATGTTAAAATATCTTCATCATCGTCATCATCAAGGAGAAACATTTTCATGCGTGGGCTGCAAGCTGACTTCACCAACAGAGAATAGGCAGCTACAGATATTCAGGTTTGAAAAATAAACCCAGCAGGAAACAATAGCTTGGCAGTAAGTGAAGAGAGAAGGCGTTTGGACATAATTCCATATGGCTCAAATATTCCATTCAGCAGCCAAACATGCAGTCAGATGTACTTTAAAATCACATTTAAAAATGGGGAGTTGTTCACCAAAGATGTAGAAAATCAAAAGTGATCAAGCCAACTTAGCACACCAGGAATTAATGACAATTATCCATAAAGGCAGTAAACTTTTAGATCTATTAAAAAAACAAACAACCTTAGAAAACCCTAAAAAGCCATGGATCACTAGATTGGATGCCAAGTTCACTGATTCCATGACCCTACAAACACAGGACAGGCAATCAGACGAGCAGCTAGTGTCAACTAAAGCAAAACAAAATGATGTCACCAACTGGGACAAAAATAATCCTAATAGTGTTAAATAATCGTGGTCTCACTACTGACTAAAATAATCATGATTATGATTTTTGCCATGATGGAGCAGCCCTACTCTAAGGAGAGTGACAGCAGAAAATCAGAAGAAGAGTCTGGACAGACAGTGCAGCCTGGACCCAGAACTCGAAACACCAAATGACAACCAAAATACTACTTGATGTGTCCTGAGATCAGTAACTGAATAACAGAGAGAGACAGACAGACAGATAGAGAGATGCACAGAGAGAGAGAGAGACAGCCATTCCCAACAGGACAGAAGGGGGAATGTCTGTTTGTAGCGGCGACATGAGGGACAGGCAGGGGCTGAGGGATTATAACTGACAGGAAACAAGACGCCTGTTTTATCTGCAGAGACTAACTCTGTAATAGCATGGGGCTTCCCTGTCCTCCTCAGCTTTACATTGCTCTGCTATTCTGTTTGTTTTATATAAAAACTGCCAATGTAACAGTGGGGCTGTAGTCTGGAGATGGAGAGAGAAGTGGAGAGTGAGAGAAAAGCGATCAAAGGTGCTAGCGGGATATAAAGGAGATTAGGTTTGCTCTGGTGACAGATCACAGGAACGAGAGACAGGAGAGCAGAGATGGTAAAAGAGAGCAGGGAAGATTACAGGGTCTTCAGGAAAGACAAAGCTGAGAAGGACCCAGGACATTAGCGGGGATTAGTGTAGCTCTGCAAAAAAACAGGGGCTGAGAGAAGGAGGAATGGGTAAGCATTTAAGAAAAGCAGCAGCAGCGTTTTCAGGGAGCATAACATTAAAACAGACGGAGATAGATCCTCCAAACTCAGATAACAATAAATCTAAAAAGATTCATCAGCAGGCATCAGCAATCATCAGACCGTTAAACAAGGGACTTGCCATGTTGTTCACATAGCAAGGCGCCATCTTATTGCTGTCTCTAGGTCTCCTGATCCTTCTGTCTTTGGAAAGTACAGCCTAATCTGTTTTGCACGGCTTCCTCAAACTTTGAAAATCCAAATACAAGAGATACATGTTTAAATCATCTTGTCTTCAGCAAGATTCTGCTTATACCCAAATCAGAGGGTGATACAACCCATTTGCCTTACATATTGCTGCTGAAACTCATGGTGGGATTCACCATCATAAGATAAAAATGCACATGCTCACAGGGTACGCCCGTTCTTTGATTTATGAACCTAATTCCTTCCCTAAAATTGGTTTGGAAGAGGAATATCTGTAAATCAACAATATTCTGGATCATATCTTGTAGGAAAAATCATTACTTGTTCCAGACCAACACAAGTTAATAAAAAAAAACCTACACATACACAGCCATTAAAATGCTATCCTGTGCTTTGCAAAGAGCCGAACTCTCATAAAACGACTGACGCACAGTAATCATAGCAGCGTAAACAGCCGTCCTGGGTGGCTCGCTGGGCAGCATAAGTGCCCCGGGCTTCAGGGATGTGGCTTTGAATCTGTGTGTGTGAGGTTTGCTTGCTCTTCCCATGGGACGCTGGATTTCTCCATATGAACTGGTGTCGCTAAACTGTCCACAGCATGGCTGTTTCTCAATATGCGTACTTGTGTTGTCACATAGCCGTTTTATATCATCTTCCATTGCCGAAGACCAGTTCCAATATTAAGAACAGAAGTACAGAGGCCCCAGATATCAAGGATGCATCAGTCGCATCCTTACCAAATGAAACCAATCCCATGATTCATTTTGTCACAAGTTCATTCTTTGGAGGCAAGTTAGCAAGATCGCTCTTGTCAAGACCACAAATATGATCTTTGTGATCTTGGAACTGAGAAACAACCCATGTCTGTGCCCTCCAACGGACTGGCTTCCTGCCCAGGTTTACCCTGCCTTGGGTCATGAATCTGTACTGTATGAATGCCTGAAGAGTGAATATTTTGCCTTAATACAATAAGTTACCCGTCAGCCTATCCAGAACAGGGTCACGGGGGAGGAGGAGCCAATACCAGGGAGCACAGGGCACAAGGCGGGGCTACAGCCTGCATGGGAGGCCAGTCCCCAACCGAGCACTATCACACACACATTATCAGCAATTTAGAAGCTTGTGACCTGTGCTGAGGCTGGAATGGGTGTCCAAGCCCAAAAGCAGGAGATGTGAGGCAACAGTGCCAGCCACCTTCTGCCTCAGCTGTAACTCAGTAAAATAAGGTAACAAGTGTAATGGATCTGAAGAGCGAGCATCATGAGCCTGTGAAAATTGGGTGGGGCACCAAGGCCATTAGAGCGACGTGGGACGTGGGGGGGGGGGGGCGGGGGGGGGGGGGGGGGGACTGACGGGGGTCACTTTTCAGCAAAACTTTGGAAAGCTCAAAGCAGTGCCTGCAAACTGAGGGGCAGGTATATTTTCAGACATGTTAACAATGGTCTTAGAATCTTCAAGAAGTCTAATATAAAGAAAATCTTTAAATTCAAAAGATAGAAAGATTGATCAATCACTAAAGGTGGTCACTTGGTTAAGAACGTCTGCATTGTGGACAACTCGTACTTACAGATGGATTGCCATAAAGTGTATTATATAAAAAATCCAGGTTAAATACAAAGCTTCGTAATAACGAATACACATACTACTGTGTGACATCCTAAAAACATGACGCGGCTTCTGCGGTTCGTTAGCTTGCGGTATAGTACAGTAACAAATGTAGTTCATTACTACTGTGTTATTACTATTGTATTATGCACTGTATTATTGTTCCCAGTTACCTACAAATTCACCTTAAAGACAGACTAAGGGGGAAGGGATGTCATTAGTGACCTGGGGCTGCCTGTACTGCACATTATCCCTTTAACATGTCAGCCAAGTATCACCGAGCACAGTAACATACAGTCACCTTCTTTCCTAATTCCTACTCCTAGCACTTATCTCCATTCCTTAAGACTCATAACACTAGTATACATTTCTAATGTTGGTAGCCATTTCTTTGTTTTCCTTATCTCTAGGGTGTAATTCTTTATTTTGCCAGATTATCGTGGTTAAAAATAAACCTTTGTGTTTCCCAGGTGAATGCCTATACATCTGCTGTATTTAAACATTAATGCATTATATTATTTGCTATTTCATAGGCTTTATCCATGTGTGACTATAATAAAAAAGCTTTGAACTGTAAATAAAGGACTTAGAGATAAACAACAAAATGTATTCATTTCGCTGATCTGTGTGAGACTTGATTATCCTCCTCTGCCAATATGCCATTTCATTTATTTCAGGTATTTTCCATCACTCTGTGCCGAGAGAGCCTTCTCCAGTGGAATAAGCTGGGCGCTTGTACCCTGCGGAGTAGCCGAGAGCCCCACACTGAGCAGGTAGCCAAGGCACTTTAGCCTTCAGCAGAACTGTGCAGATTCATGCAGGCCAGTCAGCAAACTACACAGGGCGATCGGAGCCTCAAGCACGAGTGGTGACAGAGAAACTAAACATATCCAAGGAAAACAGGCACATTGTCCCTTAGTGTGAAATGGTTACAGCCAGGCTGTAGAACATAGAGTTCAGAGGGGAGAGACAGAGACAGATGATGGACTGAGAAGAAAAGACATTTCATAGCCAAAAATACCACTATGCATGTGGTATGTGAAGCCAGTGTTGGGGGTCCGTGGCGGTGAAGAGAGACAAGGGGACTCACCAGATTCACAGCAAACGGAGACCCTGAGCTTCAGGCAGGGCAGGGGCGGCCCACCCGTCCCAGACAGCGCTGCAGGGACAGACAGACAGACAGACAGACAGACAGACAGACATTACTCTAGTGTACATCTTATTACCAAAACTGTGTTAAGACTTCAGGGAAACTTTGGGTAAAAGAACTGATTCAACTACAGTTATTATTTCAAGTGATAAACTAAATGACTGTAGTTACCACTGCTGCGGTAGACACCCTTAACCTCAAGGCAAAAATCACTCACAAAACAGAAAGAAGTGCAAGAACAGGAGAATGAAAGCTAACAGTTACTGTCTACTCTGGATTCAACATTTCTCGATTCTCAATATGAGTGGTCCTGTGTGCAGCCCTGTTTGAGATGCCCTGACGCAGGGTGCAGAATGGAGGCAGTGGAAAAGCAGAAGAGCTCGATGAATAAGGAGACTGAATTACGATGAACAGAAAGCAGAAGGGACTGTAGCAGAGATGTAAGATAGCTCCAGAAAGAGAGTGGAGAAGACAGAGGAAGACAGATTGGCTGCAGGACAGCCTGTGACTCACAGCTGTAGTAGTAGTGGTGCCCAGGCCGGAACTCCAGGCCCACAGAGAAGGGCGAGAACTTCTGGATCTTCTCAGAGAAGCGCACCGGGCCAAAGGGGGCATGGGGCCGGTTACACTCCCAGCGCTTGATAGCGCGCTTGGTCTCCACGCAGCCACGGAAATGCTCTTCCAGGACCTGATACAGCGTCAGGATTTCGACGGGGCTCTGCGTGGGTGACCCGGAGGGGTAGTGAGGGCAGTAGATGTCCAGGTAATCGTTCAGGTCCACATGGATGGTGTAGTCTCCCTGGATCAGTCTGGTCAGAAAGGGGAGAGAATGTTATATGGCGGGCTTGGATGTGTCGTAGTCAAGAATATGGGATGGAGAGTGAAGTGAAAAGGAAGAAGGGAGTGTAGAGGAGCAGAGTCAGCGGTGTACGTCAGCAGAAACGCAGATTCATGGCCGTGTGAGCCATCGATAAACCTGACGAGACTGATGGACTCCCTCACGTGTGGCTTTGAAAAGCAGAGGCGATCCATACAATTTCAGCACACTAAACCGGAGACTTATCAATTACATCTCTATTAACTACAGAGGGGACTGCAGAGAGGCTCGAGAGGGCCGATGCTAGGGAAAGGCTTGCTACACACAAGGGGACCAGGGCCATGAAGCCCTCTTTGGGCTGCCAGTAAGCTGTGTCTGGTGACTGCTGAACCCCATCCAATCTATCAGGCCAGGCCAGGTCATGGTCCTGCAGGCTGGCCGTGACCCACAGCTGCACAGCCAGCAGGGAAAGACACCACAGCTGCCAACTACTCTGATGGGCGACGCCAGGCGTGGTGAGGGCTACATGGCAACTGGGTTGACTGCCCTGCCCTTATGGCTCTTCACCTGCTGCCATCCGCGTCATTCCCAGCCTGCAGGTACACCTCTATTTCCACTACTAATGACACCTCACTAATGACTCACAGTCACATGGTTTGCTGGTGGGGGTATCAAGGAGCTTCTCTGCACCAGGGGGTGGGTGGGACCCTCCCATTTGCTTTAATCAGATTGCAAATGAAAATATTAAGCGGTGGATCCTTTATCAAATATAAAAGTGATGCCTTAATGGTGGGATGGGCCAGGACATTTACAAGACCAAATAGGACATAAATTGCTCATTCTGCTGTAAATGAAACGTAGAGGCTTCCAGCTACTTAACCTGAGAGCCACTTAACCCTCCCGTTAAGCGGAGTCTTACAGCACAGTCATCTCAGCGAGCCATGATCTACCAGCTTGCCTGTCTTCAGCCTGCGTTAGGCTGAACTGACCAGAATCAGGGGTCTAATTAGCTAAATCTGCAGCACCTCACAAATCATGGCATTCTTGGTAACCATGGAAAACCACAGCTCTGGTGAAAGCTTCAGTAGCAGCTCCAGAGTTCCCCCAGTTCCCTCAGCCACCTCCCAGGCCTGTCGGCCAAAAGCCCGGCCTGCCTCTATGCCATCGACTCCTCCCGTCACCCTGAAGAAGGCTCCGTTAATACAGGCACCGCAGCATAGGGGGCGTACCTAATCAATAATCAAAATCAGCGCCCTAGAATCGACCCGGTGTGGACAAACTATGCCTGTCCCTGACAGGAACAGTATGACTAATCTGCGTTAAGTGCCAAAGTTCCATTGCACACAATAAAAGACGCTCTACAGTGCCCTGCAACAAATACGCCCTGAAAACATCCCCCAAGGCTGGATGATTCCGGAACTCTGACCCCCTGCTGATCGTCAGAACTTGGCTTCCAGTCCCCCCAGTTTGTGTAGTATTTTATTTGTGTCCGGGGGGGGGGGGGTTGGCATGCCTTGGCTTGGGCGATACTATAAGACACGGCCCTTGTGGTTGCCGCTGCTCTCGGCTTTTTTTACTCCAGTTTTTCTTGCTCTTATGTGGCCCATTGGCTTTCAGGCAGCTTGATTCTTGGCAAAATATGGAGCTCTGAGGAAAGGCATTCTTGTTCACTGTGTGTTCATTTCTGATATTTCCCAAGGGATCAGGAAGCATTGTTGCTTTTGCCTGTTTTTTTTTTTTTTTCCAAGGGTAGCAGGTACTTGAATCTATGGAGCTTGTTCTTTTTAATAAAAACCAGAGAATTAACTTTTATCCATCCACTGCAGTGTCATGTAGTGGTGGAAGTGTGGGAGGACCCTGTGTTACAAAAAGAAACTGGTTGGGGCTTGGTGGCACCATTCTGGATCCAATATAAGTAAAAAGTGGGTGGGGTATAGAGTGGGTGGGGCCTTTGTGATACTGGGGGAGAGCTATCTGTGAAATACCGCTGGGGTTTTCTTTGTTCATTCCCTAGTCATCTTAATAGCCCTACAATCTCACCTTCAGACATGTGGTACATATGCAAAGCAGAGCAAAACAAAAACCACCTTCTTTGCTGTTCAGCTTTTCTGAACCTCTTTAAAAGGTCAAAGGTCGGCTGCCCAAAGGAGGAAAAGGGGCGCTCTGCTGAAGCAGACAGGCCCACACAGAGTGAAGTCCTGCCCCATCTGGCACAAAGTGCTACAGGCCTGTTCGGAGCCGTCAGTGCCCCCGCTCGCCTGCTGGCCGGATGTCTGTACCGTGGGGATCCCCCACAGAACCCCGACGGCGTGCTGTAAGAAGCAGGATGAAGCAGACGCTCGGGCCCTCGGTGGGATGAGCAGGACTTAGCACTTCATAAGTGAGGCTATACACTTAATGATTATGCTGCACTGCAAAACATCATTTTTTGCTTCTTTCAAATTGATCCATCCATACATTTATCTTCAATAACTGTGTGTCCATTAAGTTGTAGCAATCACCTATGGTCACAGTACAGACCACAAGGCAGACGACACCCTGGATATAAGGCACATAATCACAGACTATCACATCTGCCAAAGGTCCAAGTGTTGAGCTCAAAGGTTATAAAGGGCTCAACATCTACACGTTAGGTCGATAACCAAACTGGGGTGTCAATGCTTATTTCAGATGTGCTGATTGGCTGGCTAGAGCGTGAGGTGTGAGACTTTATGGAGACTGAGGTTGACCCAACCTCTGTCACATTCAGCCCATCTACATTCTCATCATCAAGGTACCATCGCCAGCCCCGCTGCAGTAATCAGAGATAATTAGCTCATTCTGTTTTCTTTCACCATAGCAATTACCTCTAATTACATGTGCTGCAATCTGTACTCTTTAAAACATGGTGTGCTTTGCTATCTAATTAAAAACCAGCAGAATCGTGGTCAATGACTTCCTACATCACCATTTCTTTGCCTCAGTCTTCACGGAAGCTGTGATTCATTCTTCACATGCTTGGCTGTCTGTAATACCGCAGCACACATGTGAAGGCCATGGTAGCCCCCCCCCTTTCCACACCACGCAGACAGCATACACATGTTTACTGAGAACTTAGGGAGCTTTTCCACTGCACCAGGTACCATACTTTTGGTACATTCGCTTTTCCATTGACTTCCAGTCGAGTACCAGTACCAAAAGTGCCAAACCAACTGGGGTACTTCTTTGATATTTTGGTACTTTGGGGTTGGACTTGAAAAGCTTTCTTTGTCGATTGATTTTGCAGATAACCTCTGAAACACAATACAAATGCCGCCTTGAAAACAGTTACGAATTCAAAACACAATGATAAATCACACACACACACACACACGCACACACACACACACACACACACACACACACAACGATCTGGTCGGAAGAACAGATACAACAAAAAGATCCAGATGGCATGACAAGAAATTATAGTATTTTTGTTTAATATACTAGGATGTGTTTAAATATACTACAATCCTAGCAGTGTGATTTTGTTGTAAAAAATATTGGGGTATTTATAAAGCAAAAACCCATCTAGAGTGATTTAAACAGCAAGGGTGAAAATGATTATGATTGTTTCAGAACGCATGCAGAGCTCATGCAAAAGCAGCAGAGGTAAACTTTAAACTGTTTTTTAAACATATATTAGACATATGCAAGTTTAGCAAACTTTAAAACTCCCTACGCTATAATGTCCGTATACAATTGAAAGTAAGAAAAAGCCTGATCTTAATCTAGTTACTAGTGATGAAAGAATTGCATGTGCATAACATGCGATGTTGGTATTACTATTGCACATTTTCCAGCCCTATAATACACTACTACCTCACGTTGTGATGTCATTCGGGGCCGGTACTAGTTTTTACACCAGTGGAAAACCAACACCCTGAAGTACCGTACTTTTGGTTCTTTCTCGAAGTAGATAGTACGGTACCTGGTATGGTGGAAAAGCACCCTTTAAACCTTCAGTAAGTAGAAATGCAGCACCCACACCGTATTCAGGACAGAACAGTGCTGTCCTCACACCAGATTACTACCAAGCCTGTAATTCCTAACAGATCCAGGAATTCTCTGAATTAAAGGGCCCTTGGCTCTTCCAGATAAGCACTTTTTCACATTCGCTGAGGCCAACACACACTAAAATACATACCACTAATAATACAGATTTTTCAGCAGAGGGGGTCAGGATTTCCCTGACTCAGCTAATTAAACCTTGGCCCACCCCAAGGCTGAGTAAATAACACAGAATTGTTTTTTATTATTCTAAGTATGAAACAAGGCAAATTTTAAGATGGACTTTTTGAAGCCTCACGCACAAATGCTCTCCTGGCCTCTTAACACACACCGTACTTGAACAACACGTGAACAAAGGATTTTAGTGACATAGAAGTACAAGATGGATTGTTAAGGTCCCTCCGATTACACAGGAAAAACCCAAAATGGGATGGACTGCAATGTCAATCAGGTGCCTAGCTTCCCATTGCATTAAACCCGGTAGCAGAGGACTGCAGTGGACCACTCCCACTCGCTATGGGGTTCCAAGGCATATCCAGTACTAACCCCCGGCCACCTACGCGCGTTTCACGGTTCGTTGACTGCAGTTAACATTGGCTGGGAGGACCGTCGAGGTTTGTACTGTAACTGGGCCACAATGACCCTTAGTTTCATCAGTACTTTTCAAGAGCAAATTCTTGCTAGTGTGTGAATTTTGGCAGATCGGACAGCTGCCTAAGCATTCCTGGAAATGCCGGCATGTCAAATTCCTTGCAGCTATAACCTGATTTCCACTGTAGCTTTTTTAATATGGAGTAATATTCTCAGTGCCTCATTGTCAGTGCTGGAGCAGCTAAGCACAGATACATTTTGACAGTCTGCTCCCCTGCGCCCCCACCCCAGAGGCCCCAACCCATATCAGAAATGGTAAAAAAAATCTTTACCTCCGAGATGCCAACCTGCATTAAAAACAGGATGTGTCCT